TTCTACAAGAAAAAAAATAATTTCATGTTAGCGAGATTCTGTTATTTAGACGATGTTGGAGATAGAATTGAAAGAAAGAGTACAAGTGGAGGTTGCCAATTCTTGGAAAACCACTTCATTTCATAGGCAAGCTAGAAATAACACTCCATAACTCTTTTAACTATAGAGGTAGAGTATGTATCAGCAGCTAGATGTTGCTTAAAACTCTTATGGGTCAAGTATCAATTAGAAGATTATTTTAGTATTGAAAATAATATACTTAAATTATGTGATGACACCAATGCAATTAACTTATCTAAAAATATCATACAACATTCCGAAGCTAAGCACATTAAAATATAATATCATTTCATTTGTGATTATGTTCAAAAAAGAGTTTTTAACATAAAGTTTATTGACATTGATCACCAGTAGACTGATATTCTTACAAAGGCTTTAACCGAAGAACATTTTAAAAATTCATTAGAGATTATTTTCATTTAAAATGTATTTCAGAGTGAACATATGCATTGTCTTACTATGTATCATCTTACTATACATTGTGTTTGATCTAACATGCATCGTCTTATGCCTACATGTCATTTCATTAGTTTGACTTATATGCACAGTGTAACAAAGTCCAAGTTTTTGAAAAAGGTATTAGGTACATTAAAGGCTCTTAAATGCAAAACATCATTGGATGTGGTGGTCCTTAATAAAGGTAACGCATGGATAAGTAGGAAAGGTAGAGGCACGTCACATCAACACCTATCCCTTACTGTCCCTTTAGCCTCCACTTACCTGCAAGTGATTCCTTGTACCTGACCCAAGACCTACCCTTGCCCCATGGGACTAAAAAAGGAAGCAAGTTGTGAAGCATCTCAAGGTTCAATTTTCCAAAAAGGTAAAGCAACAAGCCTTAACAAACACTATACTTTGATTGCCTTGGAGACCTAACAGCTTGAGGCATCCCTTAGTCTATTGTTATGCCAATAGTCTACCTCTCAAACTTAAGCATTAGCACAACCCCAGTCTCTCTTAAAGACCCCTACCCTGGCTTATGTTCTGGTAGTGGACACCAAAAAAACTTGCTCAGGATGGCAACAAAATTTCAAAACCTTGTTGCGATAATTAATGGAACACATCATTGATCGAGAAGAAATTTACACCAACTATAGGATTAACGGATCAAGCATTTCTTAATCACTTAGTTGTTAAGCATTATTGAATTATATATATGTGGATTTTACTTTTGATAATTTCCATCAAGCAATAGAGCAATATCACTTTTCATTTTGCAATAAACAGCTACAACTATTTGAATCAATGATCCTGGCCCTTATACAAAACTTAGGAAGAGAGTAATAACAAAAGAAAAATGAACACAACTTGATGCTTATTAGCGTTGTTTCTCAAAACCATAAATTATTATTTATTTTGGTGTATAAATGCTTAATATAATGAACAATTAATGATACATATCAACCAAAAATACGTGTCGCCTATATGTATTAGTCAATTGTATGTGTATTTTGGTCGTGATTGAGATGCATTAGTCTATTAATTTATAAAAAAATTAGGTAACTACGTCTTAGGAAAGATATAATAAATAAAAATAATAATTAAAACTCAAATCTAAAAAAATAAATATAATAAATATATGTATTAGTCATTGTCATGTTTATTGATCAATTTAAGGTGTCTTAAATGGTTCATCAAAAAGAAAAAGAGAGAGAGCCAAATATTTAAATAATTGGATTCACTTGATTTCGTTACTGTACTATGGTGGTTTCGTACCGATTGACTCAGTATTCATTAATCTAATCAAATAAGGATATAGACTCTTCACACTTTCATGTTCAAGTTTGGAGGGTTCTATATTGTGGTGATCTCTTGTCGATCGAGAGACCTTTAAGCAAATATTATAGTTTGAACAAAAAGTAACCGTTGTGATCTTTTACCAACAGAGATCCCTAAACAAATATCATATAACTCGACTAGAAGGCAACCATCTTCTTCCCTAGTTGGCTACGTACTGAACACCATAATTAACAGATAAGATATTTGTGAGGATGAACTCCCTTAGACCATGAGATCTCCCAAACACATATTAAGGCTCTGGTGTTGAATGACCTACTTCCTCACTTAAATGACTAGTAATAAGACCCTGTGATCAGGAAACAAGTAAGATAACAATCATAAATACCAAAATTATGGGTCCATTAATGATAATGATGATATGGCACGATAAGTGGAATTGTAGCAAGAACAGTAGAATTTGTGTTTGTAACTTACACCAATATATGAGAGAGAGATAAGTAGGTTTAGAAGAGAGTAGAGTTTTTAGACTCATTTAATGTTTGGACTTGATAGTAGTATGATTTTCTAGTAATTGTCCTTACTTAATATTTGAATAAGATAACAACCATAAATAGTAAAATCATTGACTTGTTATTAATGACAACAATGATATGACATGATTAATAAAATCGTAACAAGAATCATAAAATTTGTGTCTATAGCTGAAAATTTGGGAGAGATTAGGGATTTTACCCTCATTAAATGTTTTAGATTATGATATATAGTAGTAGAGTTTTTTAGGCATTATCTTTCATACCAAAACAATTACTTAATATTTGAGTAAGAAATAAATTTGTGAAGAACTATGCGCTTAGTTTAAACGCAGATCGAAATGAAGTTGAATTACCAAACCTAAATATTAAAAGAGTTCAATAAGGGATGGTGACCAACTACATTGCTAGTTGGTGCTGGTGGTCCTCCAAGTTTTAACTCATACATGGTACCATATTAATATATATTTCAATGTTTATTGGTTATTTATAAGTTTGACAATGCATGAGTTGTACTCATTTGAATTGCAGTACTAAGAGGTCCACTGCAATAGTTTAGATTAAAACTGTATAAAATTAAAGAAAAAACATTGCTAGTTGGTGCTGGTGGTCCTCCATGTTTTAACTCAAACATCGTACCATTACCATATTAATATATATTTCAATTTTTATTGCTTAATTATAAGTGTGCAATCATGAGTGTCCAGGATACTAGTTTTGATATTAAAACTATATATAAATAAAATAAATCGCCCACCGTGGGGCTCGAACCCACGACCACAAGGTTAAGAGCCTTGCGCTCTACCGACTGAGCTAGACGGGCATCATATTAATAGATTATTTCTAATTAAACTACTCTGACATGCATAAGAAAAAGATAATTTCACATATCACACCAAGGCAAAAATTTTAACTGGCAACATGAAAGGTCGAGTCAAAAGTAGGTTAATCCCCTCTACCATGTCTATTTATCAAATTGTTTCAATTAAAGTAAAGTTTAGCTCAACTTGATACACTCAACGAGAAGAATATCAAGATGTCTTATTTGAAACATTTATTTGAGTTCCATTAATTTATTGCTTTCAAAAGTGGCTTTTATAAATAATACAAAATTCTTTTAAAAAAACTTAATTACACTTTTTATCTTTTAAATTTACACAATTTGTAAATTTTGTCATCATAACTTTTTATTTTCAAATTTTACCTTTTAAAAATTGACCATCTATTTTTTTAGTTAAATATTAATATAACATGAGATATTAATATGACTGTATATGTGACATTGATATGATAATATATAATTAGAAGATAAAAAGTATGACATTTTAAAATTATGAGACAAAATGTGCATTTTTTTTTTAAATATGAAGCAAAATATACAATATCTTGAAACTGTAGAGGACAAAATACAAGAAAAATAATAACAAATACTAACATTTTTACCATTTATTAATTTTCTTGTATTTTGTCTCCATGCTTTTACAATGTTGCACAAGTTATGATCACATATTATAAAATTGTTACATGTTTTGCCTTATATAAAGATGTCAGTGAAGCGAGACAGATAGTAAATCTGTCACCATTTAATGCGAACATTGATTTAATGGACATTTATGAATTTTATATATATTTGCATATATATTTGAAAATTTGCTTCAGTGAAGTATTTGATAGTAGCAGTGGTAGAGCAGTGAAAATAAAAAGATAAAATTTATGAAAATAAAAACATTAAAAGATAGAATTTATGAAAATAAAAAGAGAAGGGAGTTGCTACGATATCCTCTAAAGTTGAGGGGTTTTAATATATTTTTTTTATGTAAACTCATAAAAGATTTAAAATATTAATTTAATTATAAAATAAATAATTTAAATTATACTTATAAAATAAAAAAGTAAGATAAAATTATAAAAATTAAAATTATAAGATTTTAATAATATTATAAAATATTAAAAAA